CAGACAGTAGACTATGGGCAAGAAAACATGGTGGAAAACCAACTGTAGCCACAGCACAAATACTGTAAATTATCTGCAATAAATTCTCATAGCAAAACAATTACAAAGATATAAATATTTAATTGCATTAATCCAAGTTTGGAACTCTTCAATTTCCAGATATAAATGGAAGATTAATTACATTAAAGTTATTGAGCTGAAATTATTCCTAGATGTGAACAGTTGGTGTATTTTCAATCATGCAGTTGTTAAACCAGCAAGTATTAATACTATTTTAGGTATATTTTTGATAGAAAAGACAAAAATCATAGAAGACTTGTTTTAGGCCATAACGGTGGCTATTGAGATCGTAAACCAAGTGACAGTAAATTATACAGAAGGATAAAAACAAATCTGAAACTAAAGCTCTTAGTTTCAAAAAGAGGAAATTATAAACGAGGGGGAATAAAACCATATGCACATAAAAATAGTAGAGAAGTCAAATTTAAGTTAAATGTGCAAAGCCCAAAACTCATATCTCAAGTTAGCTCTTCAGCAAATTGCTGAGAATATGTAAGTATAAGTAAGCTCAAAAGTGGTTTTTCATATCAAGTACTTTAATTTAACATTCCAAAGTTGTATTCACTTCAACGAGTTACTCCAGAGCCAGTTTTTCTTCTTGTTCTCATCTCCACTGCACAAATGCAGCTCCTGTACATGGTAGTGAGTCCTTCTGTTCAAGATTAGCTATACGCCATATTCATTTTAGGGGATTAAAAAACACAACATATTCTGTAGGAACTCATGAACATTCAAAGATAATAGATTTAAAATATAATAATTTAAATCACAGTTTGCATTTGAATATATCTTTATAATAGAATGGACATGGGTTATATTCTGGAGAAAGAAAAGAGAAAGGAAGCCTGCTGGACATTTAACTAAAAGGCTATGTACTGGGATAAAAGCGTAATACATTCATATTAATATTATAGTACATCTCTGAAGGTATTTATTTTCTACCTAAAAATGTACTTGTTAAATCTTTATCACTTTAGATTACATTCATTTTGTGATAATATTTTTCTTAAAAATGACAAACTACTGATTTTTAGGAACACAATTTCTATTGCCTCAGATTTTAAAAATGAATTTCAGTTATGATTTTAAATGTTTAAGGGTCTCTGGTAAGTTTGTGATCTTAAAAAATATTAAGCCAATCAATTTGAATATGTCAGAAAAAATAAAACTTAAAGCTCTGATCTGTTTTATTTAAACCACAGGAAATTAGAAAAAATAGCTGATTAGTCTATATAAGTATTTATACTCTGTTTATACACAAAAACTATATAAATAAAGCCAAAGAAAACCTTCCACTAATACATCAACTGTCCATAATTCCATGGGGTTTAAGTTTCTTTGGCAGATGTCTTATCATCTATAAGAGTAGCTGTTTCCTCATCTAACAAATGAGAAATTAATATAAGTTAGTCATGCCTGATTTAACCAGCTTAATATTTCTGTAAACAAAGGAACACAAAAAAGGTCCAAAAGGTAAAACTACAATACACAGACTTAAACCAAGTAATCTCTGAGAAATACCACCTTGGAAATTGAAGTAAAAAATCACAAAAAAATCTCAGCTGAAAACCAGCTGAGATTCTTTCCATGCTAAGTATCGTCAACAGATATTTTTGTATACTTTTAAATACCACAACATCACATAAACTTTAGAAAGATGGAAATGATTAATACAATAGAAAGTGTGAAACAACAAAACCCTATTAGCAAAAAAAGTTGAGGGAGTGGGTTGGGAAACATTCCTTGCACATTATTCTAGCAAGCTGGAAACACTATGTTCTGAGAGTACACAGAGAAATTATAATTAATGTTATACAAAAACCTTGTACAGGAACAGCCCAAATACTATTGGCCGAATTCTGCACTGATAAAGGTAATAAGAGGCACAAATGTAATAGGTAATAGGATCAAGCTGTAACATAAAACCACCTGCTTCCACTAGAGCTGGCAACCCAAGATGCTGAGTTCCAAAATTTGCCTCTTTTCACATGCCATTTTGACAGCTTCTCTGTAAGCCACACAGTTCCTAGGTACTGATAAATGGAAATAAACTCTTTATAGTACTTCACAAATAATTGCTCTAGCACAGAATGAAAAGAAAAATGTTAATTCTTTACTGCTCAAATAGATTATTATATATGGAATATTTTAAAGGTAACTCTGTTAAAGCTTGTTATAGACTACCTCTATTTTCCCAAAAGAAATATGTTGTCTATACAAAGTTTTCTGAGGTTTTGGCACTACTTTATCATTTTCTGTTATTTTTTTTCCCTATGCTGTATAGTAGGATCAATTACAGCAGTTCTTATGAAAAAAACTCCCCACAAATATAAAATAAAAACCACATTACCCTGAGGATGGACTAAGCAAACACAAACCCTTTTATCACCTCTGGGATAACAGTCCCAATTGAATGCCCTGGATTAAATTATTCTGATATTCTGAAATGTGTTGGTTTGAGGGCTCCCAAAGGGCAGAAGCAAGACACATCAAAAAATAAGACACACATCTGTCTTTCAGCTAAGAAAAAGCCCTTCTCTTTCTGTCCTTCCCTCTATATTTATACATTAGGTTCTTTTAATACTTGGCAAACTGGGTATCACTGTCAAGGTAATCTATTAAAGCTGTCTTTTAACCTAGCCTATGTTAGGTTGGGAAAAATAAATTTCTACTCTAATTTGTGGGAGGGCAACAAAGTACCAGAATTTAAGAGTTCCAAGCAGGAAAAGTCACTTGACATTAAGAACTTGTCCACTACTACAAATCTCTTAAAATATTTCCCAAACAGTTATTTCACTGTGAACTGCCTTGTGAACATTTTAATTCTAAAGGGAAAAAAATGCCTTTATATAACTTAGTGTGGTACAAATGTAGTATATTCATTTATTTATAGGAGAGAAATCTCTTTCCAAAAAAGACTCTTCACATATGAGCTCATATATAAATAAGTTACACAGCAATAACTGTTTTATTTATGATACAAGGATACCTTTTGCTTGAATTGATGAATAATACCAAATAGGCTATGACACATCCAGAAAATGAAAAAAACCTGAAATCACACTCAAAACTTCACAACTCTGACCACATATTTTGTTTTAGCCTGATTTCTGATTTCACTACTGGCGCCTTATGGTTTCCCTGGCTGAAGTGTGTATGAGCAGTTTTCTGCAGAAAACTAGTAAGAATAGTAGAAAACCAGTAGGCAAATCAATACCCATACTAATTTCTTGAAGTAAAATAATATGAAGACATGACTATGACAGCCCCTGTGAAGAAAGTAATCCTGAGAATTAAATTATATTAATGAACAGCAATTCTAAACACATTCTATTGGTGTTAAGGAGACAGCTGCTGTTTCTGAAATCTGACATTTAATGAATTTTCAATAAAAATTAAAATCTGATCTAATATTTATGAAATAGAGAAATTATATTTTAATTAATTGCAGAAAATGTTTTAAAATTTTAAAGCAAGCAAGCAAGACCTAATATTTACTGTTTGTTTTCACCTTCCTCTGTGTTTTCGACCGTGCAAAAGAAATGTGTACTGGAAATCTGTACTGATAGATGTACCGGGCACAAAAACATGCAAAGTCACATCCTGTGGCAAAAAAATGCAGGCAGAGGAAGTACTCTATTAACAGACTGAATGACTGTTTTCTCCCATTTTATAATACAGAGTTGAAGTATGATTTTTTCAGAGAGACATGTTTGTGAGCACTTCAAACTCCACGTTTTAGATGTAAAATGGAGATAACTGAACTTCCCCATCTTCCTGAGCTGTTTTGAGACTGAAAGAAAAATTAAGTTACAAACTTCTGTTCACTCCAGGCAATTTTTTTTGTCAGTGAATCCTTTCACTGACTCACATCTCACCATGTAATTCAAAAACACATTTCTTGTTATTTCATATCTCAACAGTACTCTGACACTACTTCTTTTCATTGTTTCCCACCAACACTGAACTTCTCATCCTTTCTATTCGTCTGCATGCCTTCTTCCTTGTCTTTCACACGTTCCAGTACTCCTCCATATTTCAGTTCCTGTTAAAAATAATCTTTGCTTTTCTTCCACTGGAATTTTTAGTTGACTAACACATATGCTGACTTTAAAACTCAGATTTCATGGAAAGCTATGCTTTAAACAAACAGCTCCTGCGCAGAGGTGTGCTCCAAACACTGCTCTGAAAAAACAATTACACACAATTGTGCAATTATGTTATGGAAGTTTTGATTTTGTATTATTTTTTTTCCAAAGCATTGGTTCTTCCCTTTGGAAATTAGCATGTCAGACTTAAAAACTGCAAAAAGAAAATGCAGGAAACACTACATCAACAACAGACTCTTTTTCCTCTTGACATTTCTTGGAACAAGAAAAAATGACCGGGCAGTATTAACTGGAACCTACTGTATAGACTAGAAAATGTAAATGGGTTTTCTGTTTGTTTCTTAGTTTCAGAATTAGAATTGGCATAGTAATCTTTTGGGTCAGCTCTGATGTGTGAATCGCTATCTGTTTTATGGACACATTACTGTACTGTCTTTCCTATAAACTCCTTTAAATGTCTGACAATTAAAAAGTGGGAGTAGAAGACACAACAGTTTGTGTTTATATAAATCTAGATTAAATAGTTCTTATTCTAGTACATATTTCAGTAGCTGGAATAAAACAGGCTGAAAAAAATTACTATGACATCACAGTGTTATCCAATGGATTATACTAGGATTTTGTTAAATTACATAAGTTACTCTCTCTTACTTTTGCACCACAATTCTGACACAGTCTAGAGTTCAACTGCAGTAATATGTTTTAAACATAAAGCTCTAATTACTAATTTCAGGTCTCTCTCTTTACAGAAAATAATCAAGTATATTTAAAAAGAAATAGCATCATTAAAGTAACACCTAACTACAAAGAACATAAAATAAGACTACTAACCCACAGCGTGAACTCTTCCTCCATGCTTCTTTGAAATCTTGTTTGCTTTAACTATGTGTAGAGCATTTTCTTTGAACTGCAGTTCACAAAGTCTTTCAAGAAGAACTGTCATTTCTTCAGTGATGGTATCCAGGTAAGTTTCATTAATAAACTTTAATGACGAAGATGGACCAATTGTCCCACTTAATATATACAAATCCTCTTTTATCATTGTGCACAATCTGGGTATGGAACTTTGGTAACCATGAACCACCTTATCAAAATTTGTTTCACCCCAACTAGACAAAATACAGTTTTGTAGAAGATCACTAACCAGTTTATTCTGCATATTTTGATACCTCATTAAGACTTCTGGTTTGGGATAAAGAAACAAAAGCTGCTGCACACACTGAGTTTTAAACTCCATTTGTTGTTGAGAAGCATTAGTGTTTGTTTCTTCTTGACTTTGCAGTTTATTTACTAAAAATTGTCGAAGATGCAATCTCACATCGTCCCAAAGAGATTTCACATCCACAGCTGAATCATCCTGAATTGTATGAAGCGAGGATGTTATCTCAAAAGACGTCCCACTTGCAGTACAGGGAAATGAGACACCACACTGACTAGACAGATCCAGAAGGAAGTGAAGTACCATTTCTTCTTGATTCTTCTCATTCTTCAACAAGCTTTGCTAACAAAGGTAAATCAAACAGTACTTTAGAAATTTTTAAAATTACAGTTCATTAAATGAACAGCTTCGTATTAGACTAAAACCAGTTTCTTATACTAATTATCTTAACAGCAAGTAAGATATGTCAGCGACAGAAATAATGAAATCTGTGGAAAACAGGATTTATACATGAATTAAATTTCTTGTCTACCTCTGCCAATAACTCACACTCATCTTCTCATCTTTCTTATATCCCCAACCTCTTTTCTCAATCAATTTTAGACCATAGTTCAAAGGAAACCCTTAGCAGCCTTTTTGTTGTCACAGCATCTTTTAAAGAAAGCGATATGAAAAAATTATCTAAGATTTACACAGATAATGACTGGTTTTTCTCATAAAACCAAGCAAGGAATTAATTTATAAAATTGTCACCTTCTAGGGCTCAGCAGGCAATCATCAAAAAGACCATTCCAAGGATAAAAAAGTCATCCCAGGAGTCGCTTAAAGATGTAAAATTGAAAACTTGTCAAGAATTAAAGAGTCTTAGATGACACAGGACAGAGGAATAAGAAGCTGCATAACCCATCAAACCAAGATGCAGACTGATATATTAGTGATCTCCATGTACATCTGTGCTGTATGGGTTGGAGAAGGCAGTCAGTTAACAAAGCAAGTGAAATCACATGGCTGCTGCTCCTTCTTCATTCAAATCTGAAGAGCTCTCTCTCAGTCTAGGGCTAGGATCTCTGACCTTAGAGCTGCTTCAGCTTCAAGAGTTCATGCAGCAAATGGCAGCTCCTCTTGTCACCATCACAAGAAAACTGAGTGGAATTGGTGGTATTCTTGATTTTCTTAGTTTCAGTAGGAAAGCCTTAAGTGGATGAGAATCTAGAAGCCCTCTCACTTACTCCTTCATCTCCCATTGATTCTCCCCAGCAGAGAAAAGCATTGTGGCAAACCACCTCAGGGGGGCTCATGTCCTTTATGTGTCATAGTTCCACCCCAGCCAGCAACCAAGCCCCAGGCAGCCACTTGCTCACCCCTGTACCACCAGGACTGAGGAGAGAACTGGAAGGGTAAAAGCCACAAGAATCATCGGTTGAGAGACAGATTAATAAGTAAAGCAAAAGCCATGCATACAAGCAAAGCAAAACAAAGAATTAATTCACTGCTTACAATGGCAGGCAGGTGTTCAGCCATCTCCAGGACAGCATCACTCATCACCAGGTCATCACTTCAGACATACCTGTTTTCTTTCTTCCCCATACTTTATATATGGAGCCTGATGCCACATGGTCTGGAATATCTCTTTGGTCAGTTTGGGTCACCTGTCCTGGCTGTGTCTCCTCCCATCCTCCCATGCACCCCCAACTTCCTCACCAGTGTCACAGTATGAAAAGCAGAAAGCCTGTGTGTAAACCCTGCTCAGCAATAATAGAAAAACCTCTATATTGTGCTGTGTGTTCAGCACAAATCCAAAACATAGCCCTGTACTAAGCACTAGAAATCAGCACAGTCTGCAAAGCATACTTCATGCTATAAAGCAAGGCTGGTAAAGAAACCTTTTCTACCTTCTACCTTCAGCATTGCTGATTTATTTAACTTACAATATTTGAAGAAAATATTGGTTTTATTTCTGTTCCCATTTTGAAGGGCAGGTAAATTATTCAAGTTTGAGTGTGGTATTGCATAAACATAACCATTTTGGAATGCCAAATACTAAATACTTCCTCTTCCTTAGCAAGATTTTTTCAATAGATAAGTATGCTTTAGAGTGACAAAAATTTTTAAATTCAGAACTCTTATTTTTTGTTCTGGATGTTTCAAACCTGTTACATACCTTAGAGGGTTTAACCTTCTTGTTGCCCTCTACTCTGACCAGAGTTTCTTGAAACAAACCATCACTTTCACTACAGTACCTAATTCTGAATAACAAACTGGGAGCATGATTGGCTCTTATAAAGAAAGTCTTAAAAATAACCTATTAAAGACTACCTATTTTTCTTCCATTTTAGATCTTTATTTCAAAATAATTCTTATTAATTCTTCATACTTAACAAGCAGGAAAGATGTGGAAGACAGAATAATAAAGGAAATTATCTGTTGAATATCATCCTACAAAAGCATGTGCATGTAACAGGAATATGTGCAACTGGTTCAAATCTTAAGTCATATATATCAAAGTGCATAATACTGATCCCATTTTCTTTTATTATCTGCTAAACTATTCTATAAAGTTTAGTGGCCCCAAAGAAAAATGTGTTTCAAAGTGTAAACTGAAACCCAGATTACTAACCACTGTGTTGAAAGGTTGTCTCTTGGCAAGTAGACTTTAAATGGACTTAAAATGTAGGGGTTTTTTTATGAATCATGCTCAAATACTACATTCTGAAATGTACGAAGCAAAAGAAGCTATCAAAACAGTGTATGCACCTGATGCCTTCAATGGTGAATCCAAATGATCTTCCAAGCAAGTCTCTACTGCTGCTTTTAAAGGCAAAGCAGAAATATTTTTATATATCCAAGGACTGTTTCAAGCCCTTTAAACTACAGCATTTTAACTACAGCATTAAAAATAGGAGCTTACAGATGCTATTTTAGATGTAGGGATAACTCAGAAAGAGTACCTGAAGCGAACTGTGAAGCTCTAGAAAGTGTTATCAAGTGTCTTCGCACATTGCCTATATTGATATACACTTTTTAATTTAAAAATTAACCTATAAAAATATCGCAAAAGATGATGCCAGCACTATTCAAGAGAAAAAGATCCAAATTAGTATCCAGATATTTTGGAGAAGCACAAAAAGTTCCCTTTTGAGCACAGAAAGTTAGTCATAACAATAACATACAGAAAACCAGTTGCAATTTACCAACCAGAATACAGCGCAATATGCTCAACTACCTACCACATCAATAAACAAGTACAGTAAGATGACTTGATTAAAAAAAGAATCTGCCATGATTTTATCAGGAACAGAATTTAATGACAATTTGTTAGTGCATATATTCAGCTTTTAAATATTGAGTTACAGGACAGTACAAAGAATGACAACATTTCACATAATTAACATTTTCAAGCTTTATGAAGAAATTATCGTTATTTTCATAAAAATTTACAAACGTGTGATAATAACAATAAACCTAAATATAGCACCCCAGGCAAAGCCCAAAAAGAACTTTGTACTGTTTTCAATTGTCCCAGCAGCTTTACACAAAATTCCTAACAAAATAAATACACATAATAAATTAAAACAATGAATAAGGATGTTGTCCTGAAGTAGAAAGAAGGTTCCCGTTACTGAATATGAATTATATATATTTAATTAAAAGCATGCAAGAAGAAATTATCTAATTAGTTCAATGGATAGAGATATATATTTAAGAAAGTCTGTTCATAATAATCTCATTAATCCTGAATATTATTGAAAATAGTTGACTGCAGATGAAAGTAGCTTCTTACAGACAGACTGTGGTACAGTCAGTACTATAGATACAGACAGTACAGATACATTTTTCATCTGTAATTCCATCTACACAACAGGCTGGATTATCTAAGAAGCCATAAGCCTGGAAATAGTGATGTGAAAGTCACTGAGCTCCAAAACTGTTTTTATGATAAACTGCAGAATTGAGACGTCCAGGCTTTTCACTTTGCTGTCTGTTTAGCAGCCTGCCACAGAGCCATTTTCAAGGCTTAACTGGATACTACAGCTCACAGCAAGACTGTCATGCAGTTGGTAAGCTCCCGGGAAGTTGGAGAGCTGGAAAGCACATCTTACATAAGATGGAGACATTTTGTGTTTTCCAAACAAATGCCGCCACCTGGTGTTCAGGCATATGGCTTGAATAGACCTTGAAGAAGGAAGCAAGCAGGGAATGGACCCACGTAAGTCATCATTGCCACGCCACATTCTGAGGGAATACAGTAAGGATCAAAGAGAAATAAGAGGAATAACAAAAGACTCCTGAAAGCAAGAACTTCATAGTCAGCTTTTTCTGGGATTCTCCAATTTTCATCTAGATCAAGTATGACGTGTGGCAGCCTCTGACATCCTTGAATGGGATGATTTTTAACAGCAACATTCATACTGATCAACTTTGCCAGAAGAGAACAAAATCACTCTTCACCACATGAACATTAAGGACTTGGCGTCTCTAAAAACTAACTTCCTCATTTGATACAGATCAATATTCAGTGGAATCAATGGTGATTGATCCAAAAGAGCAACAAGAATCCTATAAGTTAAAAAAAAAATATTGCTTTCATCAACCATTGATTTTATCAAGCTTGTGCTCTTGCCAGAGAAAACACTTCCCTTCTCTAAATTCGACTTCTGTACATTCCTGTTCTCTTCCATTACAGGTAATCTTAGCCTAAAGTTGTTCATGGTCTACAACTAAACCTTGACATGGAAGTGACAAAGAATAATCACTGGATACTGTTTATGTGTTTTGATTTTATATATATGTATCATATCAAATGCATACATCTAGTTTATATATAAACTTGAAGACCATCATTTACTGAGGGATCAACCTTCACTTATCTTGCCAATTCAATTTTCCAGACTTCCATTTCCACATGTGTATCCAAATGCAAGCTTTCAATCAAAATTTTGGATAAAAATACTCTCTAATACTCTTCAATTTCATTGAAGTAAAATTTGATTTCTGGTTGCATCTAGTCATACAACTTGGTAGAACAAAGAATGTAGCTCCCACATTTCTCACTGGGAAACATAGAATCATTTGGATTGGAAGTGACTTTTTTAAAGCTTGTTTAGTACAATCCTCCTACAATGAACAGGGACATCTTCAACCAGATAAGGCTGCTCAGAGCTCAGTAGTACTTGGCCTTGAACATTTACAGGGATAAGGCATCCATCACCTACCTCTTTGGCCACACAGCAGGTAGGAAGTTTATGCTTAAATAATGCATAAAGGACAGTAACATACATTAGATGAGTTAAATTCATACTGATAAAAGTGAAGAACATGCAGTAACACTAACAGCCTCAGTGGAGACAGTAACTTCCAATGTTTTTTTTACCAACATGTGTTTTATAAAACAATCCAAGCAGTGCTGAACATATGGTAGCATCTGTGAAAAGATTTTGTTCCAAGTTTGTCTATTTAAAGCATGATCAAGAGGAAACATAACACCATGCTGCAGGCATGGATTTATGAACTACCCTCACAACAGTAACGGCTGAAATGAAAAAACGAATTGAACTCATCCATCCACCTCTCCACCTCCAATTGTATAATCCACTTTTCAACAATAAAGTTTTTAATAAACAATTTTTACCAAGGTCTTAAGGAACTCCAGCAGCTCTCCATGGTCTGTAGAAGGAGGTCTCAGAGAACTAAAATTGCAGTTATTTAGCCACTGAATGCAGTCAGTTGTGCTTTGTAGTACTTCGTCAGTACAGATTTCATTTATGTCCAATTGCAGATCCTTAAGACACTTTTCTATGCTAAAAAAAAAAAAAAAATCACAGGATTTTTCTACATTATTTGGAGACAAAAGTATTTTATACATGCCGTATTTTAAAAAGAAAAACTACTTAAATTTAAGGTAACTCTAGTCTTTCTTATTCACAGATTAAGCTACCCTCACCAAATAAGACCTGAATTTGCAGAATTAACAATTAACATTTAAGTGCTGTTGAGCTGGAGCTAACAAAACTTTCCTTCAGGCCAGATTGTACCATCCTCAGCCAGCGTATGTATGGCTTCACCTTCAAACAATCTTATTCATTTTAATAAAGTAGTTAATGAACAAGACATTAGCCAACCTAATATCTGGTCCTTGGTGCTTAATTAGCTAAAGCAGAGATGATAAACTGAATCAAGTACTGCATTCAAAGGTGAATGTGCAATTTTGCTCCTTTAGCAATCAGCAGTTGTTTTATAAAACATAAGATATATTAATAACTTCTTAAAGCTCCACTGACATCACAGAAAATGTTGAAAAGAATTTCAGAGCCAGTTGTGCTGAGAAAGCAGATCTTTTCTTTCTTGTTTTGTCATTAGAATATTTGAAAGAAAACAGACTTTGTTTTCAAGGAGCTGATCCATTCCTTAACATTCATCTAGAATCATAACTCTTTTTATGAAACCAGATGTGTCGGTTACGTTTTTACAGTGATTTCATTTGCAAAGATCGCAAGAACAATTGAACATCCAGAGTTATTTTATTTTTACTTGCGTGGACACTTAAGTGAAAACAAAACAAAACTAAAAAAATCCAAAAACAATCTAACTATTTATTTTCCTGCAAAAACATCTTTTTGGTATTTCATTTCTACTTTTATTTTTCAAAAGCAATGCTCAATATTTCATACAGTTTCAGCTAGAAAAATAGAATTTAGATCCTGGCAAAACTGGGTTTAATAGCCCAACTATGAAGTCCAATTCTAAACTTGACAAAAGATTGGCAAGTATCTTTTTAGTTAGTGAAACCTGTTCTCAGGACTATGAAACTAAACGCCTTCTTCATACACCTTGGCTCTTGGGACACTATCAAAGGCTCTTATTGTGGAGTGCTGATGTATCTCAAACATACCCAAATACATTACAGCATTGTGCATTATAAAAGACACTACTATTGTTAAATCTCTGCCAATCTACTACTATTATGAGTGAAGTTTTACACTTATCTTTGACATATGAATCTGTGGCCAAGCTAATAAACTACAAGCTTTGAATAAAATACAGCCTTCTCAAGACCAGACATTTTGGTAATTGGTCCCAATACTAATAAGGGGATTAAATGGATAGATTTCAGTGCCATTCCCCTGCTCCTTACCTTCCACACAAGTATAAATCATGATAACTATGTTCATTTTAATTAATCCTTTTATCCTCCCAAAATACACATTTAATTAGGACTAAAGCTGTTTTTGATTGAATAAACATATTTTCGTCCTGTTTATTTACAGCATACAGAATACTGTAGGTAAACAGGGTTTTAAAACCACTGCTGCATCTTGCTAAGAATTCTGTCAACACTCAGTAATACAAGAACATGGTTAATTATAGTTACTTACTCCTTTACATTATATTAATTAAAAACTTAGGAATTTGGTTACCTTAAAAAATAGTCTATTATCTGAGTTCAGAAAGCAGCATTTTAAGTTAAAAAAAAAATTATTCTGTTAAATATTATTAAAATTATTCTCACTACCTAGGCTGGTATCAGAAACTTTATAATTTCATACCACGTAGGTAGAATAAGTCTTTGATTTCCTGGTTTAGAAAAGAAATTTCCTAAAGCTTCAGCAACTGCAAACAAAAATGTAATTTTGATGTGAAAAATATGCTTAATGTATTTCATTAAAAGTGCTGGATTCCTTTTTTTCCAGTAACATTTTTTAATTAAGTGCAAATGTACTTTTTTCAAGTTCAGAGTAGCAAATTCACTCCTTCTTTGAACATACTGAGGCACTAATCCAGATGATGTCAACTGACATGATATACATACTATGGACCTGCAAATTTAATAACCCTCAATAAATTTTTTGTTCACAGATGACTCAACCTTTTTTTTGGAACCTGTGGAACTCTTCAGACACAAACAGAAAAAAACAGTCACCAAACTACTAAGGAAGGAGTGGAACGTAAAAGCTCAAAGAAAAAACATAACCTTTCTCTGTAGCAAATAAACCTAATAGTTATGCTTGCACTTTTTTTTTTTTTTTTTGTTAATTGACTAATTTTTCAAGAAACAAATCTTTAGTCCCACACAGGTAGTACCCTGAGCCTTTGTGGGCACATGTTTTTTGTGGTTAGTACTCCTAGCATACCATTATAAAAGTGAAAATGATGTGACTGAAATAGCTTCTCCTCCTTACAGGGGAGAGTGCCTGCAGTTCTTTAACAAACCAAAGCCAAGTTGTGTTATATTATCTGTGTCCACATTGGGGTGCTTTTCTGGAAAAACATTTGGTAAGTACTCATACTACAGAGAGACAATCTCAATGTAAGAGCTCTTAATTATCTTAAATTAATGATAATTTTTACAAGTAACCTAATCATCTGGAGAAAATGCTTTTAAAGTGGCTTCATCAATGGACTAACAGTTTAAAAAGTATTGTAATGGAACTGATAGTGTAAGCACTATCATACTATCATACAATGTCACACAACATTATTTTGAAACTTATGGTATCAGAAAAAGGGTTGACCCCTCCATGTATCATTTTCCATTGCCTAAGATTACTATGAGTAAGTTGAAGTATGATCTTCTAACTCCTTTCAATTTCTAACAAGCACATTTCAATTTATTTCATCTAGCATAGGGAGCAACCATAAAGTGACAATGACATTGGTTAAATTAAACAGCTAAGCTATAAAGTGAAATTATCTTTTAACCTCATGTTCCTTATTCTTACGATCCTCACATTCATGGAAACACAGCTTTAGAATCAGCTTACATATCTTTCATTCAGAACAGACTGTTTTAAAATAAATAAGATCAGTTTTCACTGCTGTTGAAGAATTAAGCAGTGTTAGAAAACTACTGTTATTACTCATTAAAAAGCTTGACTGCTAGAGGTATAGGACATTCATACAAAAAAATCTTATTATTTGGAAGACTGTGTATCAGAGGACCTGCTGTGAGCAGTAAAAAAAATTTGCAGAAAGACTTTTAGCGTGTAATTCACACAGACATTTTCATTGTTAAACTTTCTCTTGATCTTGAACCCAAAGAGGTAAACCAAAGACACAGCACCTGGTTCAAGGACTTCAAAAACTATTGCATATCTCTAATTTAGCTCCTTACAAAACATATCCACTCTTAACTGTAAAGTAACTGTGTCGTTAAAACCAGAAGAAATAGAACGGTGATGGCTTTGCTACACTTTAGCAAGAAAAAAGTACTTAACAGCTTAACCATATGTGAACGGTCAGTTCTAACTGAACCACTGCCTGCCCACCTTTAATTTCCATTCTTGTTTTAAAGGCTCGAGATATTTCTGTCACAAGATGCAAGCTTTGTCTTGGTAAGTTATTTCAGAAGACAGGCAGTGAAACATGAGTTTTTCAACTCCATTGACTAAAACATGACAGTGACAAATAAGGGTTCAAAACCCATCATCTCATATATGCTCATATGAAATGAAATGGGATACTTTACAGGGCAGTCAAAAATCTGATTACAGCTTCTGTAGATGTAGATGACAGCTAATTAACCACCTAAGGTACTGACACAGTGATAATCACTGAATATTTGAATAAAGAAATCATGTGTCAATAAAACAGCCAATTTCTGAGCAAGTGTGCTGCCCAGCTAGCAAGTTGCTGTGGAACAACTAACTCAGATTCAGGTATTATGCACAAAGGCAACACAGTCTGCATAGGAAAAAAAATACATTCCTTTCTCAGTTTGTTTACTTATTCCTAGCAACTGGTCCAGTAAAGTGATTAGACTAGACAACTACTATTCTGACAAAGTTTTTAATAACATTGCTGTAATATCTTTACAGGCATCAAATTTTCAGGCAAACACTAAAGTAATACATTTGTACAATAAGCCAGCTACATTCACCCAGAGTCAAATTACTTTTGAAAGCTGTGATAAATATTAAGTCCAAGTAAAACTGATAAAATGATGAAGTTTTTTCCTCTACAATTAGCCCTCATTTTGAAATTCTCCCAAACACTCAATCACTCTTGGGATTTTGGTTGAAAAAGCCAAAATTTTGATAAATCTCTTGACTAATAGGAATATGAGGCATAACTGCTTCCTGAAAATTCCTGAGCAGAACAAGCAAAGGTTTTCTTCAAAATAAGATAGAAAGATGACTCCTGCAGCACACCTCAGTTTAAAAACATATAAGGCCTTTTACACGCTAGTTCTGATACAGGATAATGGAATGAGATAGCTTGACTTAATATCCTGTTTGAAACTCCTCCATCCCTTTGTTTTGACATTGGTAAGCATTTCTTGGCAAATCAGCAAAGTTAGGATCAACAGCTGGACCATGTCACACTAATATCCTTACTGAGACACCTTCCAGGTCTACAATTCACAAGATCTTGTTAGTTCCCAAATAATAATCATAATTTTATAAAACGGTGATGGGAAAAGATGCAATGCTCTAAGCGCTTAGTAGCACTGACCTCATTGCAGCCCTTCAAAATAGACCTTCAAAATCCTTATGAGTAAACTACTGTTAATTAGGTCAGGTTGAAGTCTGTCGTGGTTTGACGCTGGTAAACATGCCAGGCAGCCATGAAAACCAGAAAAAAGGGCTCATGAATTAAGGACTGGAAGAAAACATTCTAAGGGCAAAATAGGCTCAAACTAAAAGGCATAAAGTAAACTTGTTACTAACAGAGTCAGAAGAGGATAATGAGGAGTAAAATAAGCCTTTAAAACACCTTCCCCCCCCACCCCCCTCCTCCCAGCTCTTGTCTCCTTCCCACTGAGAGTGCAGGGAGACGGCATGGGAGCACTTGGTCAGTTTGTCACTCGAAATACTTCTTCAGTTTGCTTTTAGGGAGAGGAGTCTCTCTTCTGCTGTGCTATGGGGTCCTTCCCATGGGAAACAGTTCTCCGAGAACTTCTCCAATGTTGTTCCAATTTCACAAGTAGCAGTCTCAGTCAACCTCCTGCTGTTATGTTAGTCCCTCCCAGGGGCAAAACAGTCTTCCCAAAACTGCCATGGTGTGAGTCACTAGTTCATGAGGTGTAGCCCTTTAAGGATAAGCTGCTCTGGTTTGGAAGTAAGGGCCCTCTTTTCTCTGTCTCAGGAAACAACGGGCCTCTCTGTTCAGGTCTCCCATTGGATTACAACTTTTTTTAGCATCCACCCACTCCAGCATGAGCACTTTCCCAACAGGCTGCAACTGGATCTCTGCATCCCCCCAAGGACTTCATGGATTACATGAAGACAGTTTGCTTTATTATAGTCCTCCCCATGGCTTGCAGGGGAGTATCGACTCCACTGCTTGAAGCACCTCCCCTCCCACTTTCTTTTCACTGATCTTGGCGTCACCATGTCGTCTTTTTCCACATGTCCTCACTTCCTCCTCCTTCTCTGACTGGGAAAAAAATCTCCTGCTCTTAAGTACTATTGCCAACAAATGCTACCTTTTTAAAGATATCTGCAGGATCCTGCAATGATTTTGTCTAGGTTCTGTGCAGGGGAGTCACCCTCCATGTTCCCGTTGCCAGCCATGCATCCCAGTCACCACCAGGCCTCTCTTCATGCGAGCTACCGGGGAGGAGAAGCCGCAGTCGCCGGCGCTGCCCTTCTGCCTGCGGCACAGCTGGCTAGGGCCGGCCAGGCAGGCAGAGCTCGCCGTGGGCTGTGCTGAGATGGTGGCGGCAGCCACACGGCTGTGCCTGCAGTGCCGAGACGGTCCCAGCCGTGGTGCCTCGCCACCCCTGAGAAAAAGCTGCTCCTGTGCGGATTTTCTTCTTAAATGTGCCATCACAGAGGCATTGACAACTTCTCTAACTGGGCCAGCAGCATGTCCATCTTCAGAGCCATAAGAGACTGGGTCTGTTGGACATTGTGGAAACTTCTAGAAGCCTCTCACAGAAAGCACTTCTGTGCCTCCCCCCCCCACCCCAAAAAACCAGGCTGTGTTAAACCAACACAAAGTTTATCAGATTGAAGTCAAATTAGGCTTTTGTGAAAAGACTCACAAATTTATAGTTTCCAGGGTGCTGCAGAGATACAATTATTATTAAATAATTGTGTTGAATTCTAAGCAATTGTTCTGTTGATGAAGACATAGAATATCTCCTACTGTCCTACAGTCTCACAAAATCTTGTAGCTTTATCACAACTAAAAGGTAGCACTCACTGAAGAAAAAACTGAATACAGAAATAAAAATCAACTGCTGAAGAGACCTCATGCTTAGCAATCACTTCAAGTTATGAACTATAGGCTTGGTTTCAAGCTCTGTACTGTATTTCCTGCTAAGAAGTATTAAATATAAGCTGCAAGTTTAATCTGTGAATTGCTAACAAGTGAAATGTCAATAATTCTTAAACCACCAATTCAGAAAAATAATCCAAATACTCAGTTTTGATGAGCAGTAAAAGTCAAAGTAACTGTGAAAGGAAAGAATGAAGACAAAAGGCCAACCTGATTAAACCTGTAGAACTTCGCACTTGAGAATAACCTTGAGATCACCCCTGCAGCCAAAACTGGCCAGCAACGATGATTGTTTTGAGAGTTCATATTCACCTGCTTCTATAAACTGCTGTAAAACTCAACTTAACATTCAAGTGTAATAAGAGTTCCGTTACATAAAAGTGAATGAATGAGCCACTTACTACATTTTTGCAATGTCATTTGCAAAATTTGCAAATAACACAACTGCACACACATGACCTTTTTTGTTGTTGTTACAGCACCAAATAGAATTGGTACAGTACAAAACTACTGAAGGTAATTCAACAGCTAAAAACCATATCTGATTTGTCATGTCACACAATTTTATAAAATGTATTCAGTTAGAAGGCAATAAATTAGCAGTTGAATGATTTATACACTCTTGCCTCATAATTTTTTACACAATGTTTTATTTTAAAATATATATATATATGATGTATACTATTACATTTATTCTCTGTGGTCTAATAAAAGCATAAATCTATTTGATGAAAAATGGATTGTATTTCAATTGTATCACTGTTTCACACAGAGCTGCTCTTATCATACCACTTACAAAGATCAATGGTAACTTGAAAATTATTACATTCTATGCTACCTCTAATATATTAGCAATAAAAGGACTCTTTTTAATTTAAAAGTCACATCAGCTGCTGTCCATCTTATTTTAAACTCTTTCAAATTCTGAAACTGACATACTACAGGAGCAAAATAGCACCTGGTAACTACTTCCAAGAGCTACTTCCTCGTTTTCCTTGTGAAAATAAGGTTAAAGCTAGCTTAAGTGTCAATTCAGCAGAAATTTTTCCTGACCTGCACTGCTGTGTATCACATCCTAATCCAAATTCCAGCTTTCCTTTAATAAAATATCATTTGGATCTCACAAAATTTACAGTAAAAATTCCTTCTAATTTGTAAGACTAGACAGGTAAGACAGTGACAATCAGCCTCCTTCAAGACATACAAACACTTCCACTGTGATGATGTTAACATAAAACGTAACATAAAATGCTAAGTGGCTATAAAGTACCACTTAAAAGAAGGAACAGCTTCTCTTCCCATAGTCAAAGTTTTCTCAACAAGCAGCATACATTTTTCCACATTAAAACAAAAAATAGTAGTGAAGCATTCATTCTAAAGCTTCATTTTAAGAACAATCTTCCTAATTCTCAGGATATCGCTAAAAAAGGACAACAAAATCACTTTTATTTGTTAGTTGAAGAGGTGACAACAGTTATGCTAAAAACGCTGATGCTCTTTCTTCCAGATATACAAAACCATAGACACAGGAAACTTAATTACCTGTGTAATTAACTATGTTATGACATAAACGAATCTCTAAGTATCTACATTTTGCTCATGTCAACACATGGAAAACTCTTAACATTAAATTGTATTATGCAGTGGTCCACAACAGCATATTTACCAGATCTTCAGTACCATTGCTATCATGAAATTAATATTGCAAGTACTTTAGTAAATCCTAAGTTTTAAGTGCAAATGGGAGGTAAAACTAATAGAAATACCCCCTCAAAAGAACCTCTTAGGTCAGCATAACCAGTATGACAAAAACTGAGAAATTATATAAGTCAGTTTCCAGTGAGGTATGGCAATGGTTTCTTTCCATCCTTTCAGAAGCTGTTTGGGAGTAAAGACCTCTGACAAACGTGGGCTACATTAAAATGATACAATCTTAAAAGAGATGTCATGATGGATGCTCTTTGAAATCATACTTTAAGAAGCACTGTTTATACTTGAAGATGCTCACAAAGGTGAGCATTTTCAAAATTTAGTATAAAATCCTACCATTTGTTATATCTCTGACTGTATACTTATTTTTTTAAATGGACGAAAACTTAATTTGCTTAAGAGCATCTTTCACTGATGAAAGTATTACAAAGGCACGAAAGAGTTAAGCCACAATGTTTAAACTTTGCCTTTTGTCAAATTCTGTAGTTCTTTTAGTCAATAAAAATGTATCTCATTAGTAGGAAATCCTATCTCATAATAATAGAAAATACAACTGTCATGAGAATTCACATTTTCTTCCTTCACTATCATACCTACTGCAACAGAACCTAAGGTTAAGATGATACAATTGTTAAAAATACCATAGAGAGAAAGACTATAGCACAGTAATTATACAGCATTAAAAATCTCTTAAGTGCTCGAGTGGTTAAAATAAAATTACTGCTGAAATATTTATCGGAATTTTAACCTGCCACTAGAAAAGAAAGGTGAGTTAAGCCACATTTCTTCACAAATGACTTTCACTAGTATTTTGGATTCAAATAAAATACTCTTTACCTGGAAGAGTTCTTCTTTATTTTTTCATCAAGATCACTAAGGATTTGTCTAAATTCCAATTCTCCAGGGAGGACATCTAACAAACAGTCTAAATTGGAAGAATCAAAAGAATACTCTCCTCCCCATTCCATTTTTAGAATCTGTAAAACAAATACAGAAAAATGGTTAAATAATGGAAATATGCAGACTAGAAGTACCAAAATACACAACATCTTGTTCTTTGGAGATTAGATTATATAATAATATAAATATTAGATTATTATGCTTCTGCATAGACTGGTACAGAGGGAAACCGGGAATGCAAGTATTGATATAAGTTTCATAGTATCTTGCATTTCTTTAGTTTAAAGAAATCAGTTCTTTTACCTTAATCACAGCAGTAACCTTTTTTTAAGACTTAGGAAAAAATCTCTTATAATATAATAATAATTATATATATATATAATTATAAATGGAAACTAAAAGCAAACATTTTACAGGGTAAACTTATTTTCTGTATACTTATAATTTCTGTCCAAGGAGTGACTGTCTTCTGGAAATTCAGCACATCATTGCAAATACAGGCAAACATAAAAATCCAGACTGAACCAAGTTTCATCTTGCTTTGTACTCGTTTTGACTCACATAGCATTTGACTCACAGGTCAAATCCACCAGCCTATTCAAACTAATACACTACCTTTGTATCTTTATATCAGAAACAAAGCATTAGCAGGTTTTTTTTCCTGTTTTCTATTTTTTTCTGCACCTTCTTGTGGGAAAATAATGATATTGATTTTACCATCAGTGATGACTTACTAGCAATTAAGGAAAAATATTATATAAAAACTGGAACCTTCTTAATAATCAGTATATTTCATGTCTACTATTTAGTATGTCACGTTTAATACTATCCATATTGCAGCAACAACATGAGAAACAAACATAATATTCATATGCACACAGTTTGGACAACGAAATATAACAAATACTTTATTTTTCCTGCAAGCAATATTCTTTTATAAAGCAGCCACAGTGTTGGTTGTTATCTAGAGGCACTACTAGAAAAACAAATTGAATTTTTCTAAGTGAACTGTCGGCAAAACACATGTTTAAAAAGAACATCAGATATTTAATATGCAAGGTCAAGATGATTGGTTTTGGTCATAGGTGTAGACTTAAGAGTAGCATAAATGCACATGTCTGGTTTTGCTCTTCCAAAGCAACATTTAAAAAAACCATGGAAGTTCTCTAAAGCATAATATCTTGCACATCTCAATTAACAGCACACCAATATGAAATATTTAATGGATAAAGTGTTTTCTTAAATTCTCAGAAGTTACAGAATACCCCTTTGCAAATAACAATTCAAACACTTGCAGCATTTTGGGATGTAGCTGAAACTCAATCACTTGCTGGATGTAAATCAAATACATCTCTTAAAGCATTAAGGAAATGTCAGTCTTTTAATCTAAAACTTAACAGACGTTACTACAATTAAAGACACTAATTAAAAGTAGTAGTTAAATAGAATCTATTAAACAGCGCTTTACAGAACTGAGATAAAAGGCATACTGAAAATACAGCTCTTTCCTCAATTATGATACTACTTACAATAGACTTGGATCACACACACCCTTTTCTCTTATAAAGGGTTTACACAGAATATAATTTTAACTCCATTCAATATCTATAACTCAAACCCATCTTTTATTCAACTGTCTTGTAGAACAATCAATGATTCGTGTAAAATGAACTGTATTTTATATACATACATATATATATAGCAAAAATACTAACATTTTGGAATGAGTCTTCATAAAATAGCTGCAGAATCAAAATTATGTATTTATATTTAATCCTAACTCTTTACAGTCAAAAGAAGCTCCTTGGGAAAAAATATCAGTATAGTTTACAGACTAGTAACTGTTTGAAAAATTCATCAAATGAAAAAAAATCACCTTGTAAACATGACAGCCTAGTTTTCATGCATGCATTCCTGTAAGACTTCTATGTCATACTTCTTTGGTTCACTTGTCAAAACAAAGCAATTATTCCTTTCAGTCTTGGTTTACGGAAGAAAAGCAACATTTGATTATTCAGTTTTTAAATACTGTTTTAGATGGCTAATACTAATTTCTTCTGCTGAAAATCTAAACCCAAAAATGTTTCAAAAGGAAAAAATAAAGCATCAAGACATAAATTAGCACAATTGAGGTGAAATTTTACTGTTCTTTAGCATAACCAGAGCCAGGGCCTTCAGTGTACCATAAGACTCTAACTGATGATCTGACTCTAAACAGAACTCCACTATCAGCCAGCTGCCTGCCCTCCCTGTGTCCCCTGGGGGCAGCAGGATGGGTGTCAGCTAGCAAGGGCCATCCCCTGTCATTTGGGATTTTCCCCGCCTCTCCTGTTAATCCAAAGAGCAGACAGTTGTTGATGCTCTCAAAGAACCAGTGTGACACAGCTCTCCTCTAAAGGCAAAACCCTCAATGTTTGGTTTTTTAAGAAAGAAATCCATCTCTTTCTTAAAAGAGAAATGGGAGAAGAACTCAGTTTGGCAAATCTGAATTCTGTCAAAGTATTTTAGACATTAATAACCCTCTTTTTTCTGTAAAGGAGATTAATTTATGCTTTGTTATTAAACTGCATAAAAATATCATTCTACCATATTTCAATTTTCTAATATGATGAACTATTGTATGTTTTAGGACAAATGGTCTTAGAGAACCTGTTTCAGGTGCAACTCTCTAAGTCCCTATCTTAAAAGACTTAGTTCTTTTCAAAACATAGTAGAGGACTGTTCATCAACATTAAAATGATGTAGCAATCAATGTTTTCAGTAGCTACTCAAGAAACTTAACAAATGTACAGTTTAGCTTAGAAAGAAATATTTTTCAGGTGTCTTATTTTAAGCCACGGTATCAATGAAATTTAACATCAATGTAATAATTTCCACTTCTAACAAGTGTAAATTATGAAACTTTTTACCAAAAATCTTTAGGCCTATTTAAAAAAATACTACACAACAATCAAGTTAATACCACAGATAATTCTTGCTTTTAAAACTCACAGGGTTTACCATTGAAAAGCACTTTTTGTGTGTTTTCTTTTTCAGTGTCAATTAAATGGAAGAAATCTCCTATAAAAATTATATGTAGTTGCAATTGGGTATTTCTTCATTCTGATTAAACAGTTAAGTTAAACATAATTGTAAAAGCCTTCCAGTACAAACATACATCTGAAATTCCATGGAATTTGTAAGATCAATTTGTACTATTTATATTTACTATAATATGCCTTTGTTCTCAGACATAGGGTTTGTAAAAGTGGCATTTAGCTAAATCTTGAACAGAATTTTTTGAGCACATCTGTTGCTTATGCACATCTCAATGTACCCATAATTTGGAAAAAGGGATATGTCAAACTGCAGCACTGAAATATAGAGAATTAGCCAAATCTTTGAAGCTTTTTTCTGTTACTGCTTCTTCTCTTACAGGAGATATCTCTTTATTGCCCTAACATCCTTGCAAAACTAAAAGGGAATGAGAGAATTGACAAGATTTTTCATCACTCAGCTTATGCTTTCAATGAGACCTTAACAATGATTTCCTTTATCTAGCTTTAGTTGTGTAACTGCTTCCAGCCGCTTTACAGCACAGAAGATGTCATCTGCAATTGCACAGCAGGCAGCAAGAGCAATGGCAGTGGCCTGAGATACTACAATTCAATGTGAAATTCCTATTGTTCTGTATATTTAAATAGTCTGAATATTTAAAATTATTTTGAAAACCAAATAGAGTGTACAAAAGAAATCCATTTAAAAACTGCAATTTCTTCAGCTCTACTCTGACATGGTAAAAGCTTTTTACCCAATTTTCTGTGGCAAAAATCCTTTAAAATTGTTTACTGTTTAAAATAGACTTGTAAAAGAAAAGGAAAATTTAAAATTCTCTCTATAAAAGAACATGATTCATTTTTGTTTCTGCTCATATGTATCGAAGATCCCTATCTAAATTTTCCAAACTGCCTTTCACCTATTTCGCCCACTTTGCTGAAGCCTACAAAACATTTACAAAAAGAATATCATATTGTTCCAGTAAAAAAGACATTTAATGCATACAAAAAAAACTCCTCAACAAAAGAGAACCACCAGTCTTCATTATGGTTTTATTTACTAAATATTATGAATGCCACAAATAACTTTGAAACAAGTTTACAAAAATAATCTTGCAATGCTCCCCCTGCAGACTTTCCACATTTGCTGTTGTCATAAACTTTTACTTCAATGTTAATTTTATATTTGTAAATTATTATCCACCACACGCTTAAAACATTTGCCTTTATATTTTTTGAAGATGGATTCTAAGTATCTATAATTAAATACTCATTTGTAACCCTTTTGAACACAGCTTTCTTCCAAATTCTGCCATAAGAGTCACCAAATAAAAGAATGGTAATAAAATATAACTAAAGAAACACAGTCCTTACTATGGATGAAACAGAAAGCTATATCTTCCACCTAAAGCTGTAATATCAGAATGCAGTGCTGCGATCTAGGGCAGCTATATCAACCCTTAAATCATAATATTGTCAAAAAGGACTGTGAAAATGCACATTTCTGACAAATAGCATATGCTACTATTTTTAACATCTGTATTTTTTCAAACTATATAGCTTAGGCCTGCATTGTAAGCATATGTACATGCCAGAATTTGTAACTAAAATCTGTGAGTTCTCCCTATTGTCTCTCCCCAATTCTTTGAGCCACAGAAAGTGAAATGCTGCGAATAGAAAGGAACCAGCACTGCTTTTTAAGATTTGTTACTACTTGGGACTGGCAAAAATGTTCAAAGACAGGAAAGAATTCTCATTTACATAAACTTAATCAAACACTATTGGTGTGACACTACTGTAAAGGCAGTGACTTCAAAAGAGGAACATGCCATCTGGACTTACAAGGAAACTCCTGAGTAGTTATGTCAGAAGAAAGGAATAAAGGATAATGTGATTTCATAACCTTCAGTAAAGAAGAAATGGCCATTTTCTGAGTAGCTCTTGGGACAAACAGTCCTATATCATCTTTAGCTCTCAGCTGGTTATCCTGCAGCTGCAATCCTGCAGTGTATGATCCAAGGTTCGACATTTATAAACAAGCC